GACGTTGCTGAGAGGTGCCCAGCTGCTTCAGTGGTTGTAAGACCCAGTGAGCCTACAGTGGGTTTGGAGTCAACATTTGACAAGGTTTGGGCATGCCTTACTGATGAAGGCAGCAACATCATTGGCCTCTATGGCATGGGCGGAGTCGGGAAGACAACTCTCTTAAATCATATCAACAATGAGCTGGGACGGCGAAGAAATAATTTTGATATTGTGATTTGGGCAACGGTGTCTAAAAATCACACTGTCGAGAAAGTTCAAGATGAGATTGGAGGAAAGATTGGTTATAGTGATCAGAGATGGAAACAAAAAAGTTATGATGAAAAAGCTACTGACATCCTTGCAGTGTTGAGTAAAATGAAATTTGTGTTGCTTTTGGATGACATATGGGAACGAGTTGATTTAGTTAAAGTTGGGATACCTATTCCAAGACAGGGAAATGGTTCCAAGCTTATCTTTACTACTCGTTCTCTTGATGTGTGTGGTCAAATGGAAGCTCATGAGAAGATTGTGGTAGATTGTTTGGCACCGGAGAAAGCCTGGGAATTGTTTCAAATAAAAGTTGGAGAAGAAACCCTTGATGGCCATCCGCAAATCCGTGGACTAGCAAAGGAAGTGGCAGAAGAGTGCAAGGGTCTGCCTCTTGCCCTCATCACCATAGGTCGGGCTATGTCATCCAAGGAGACACCTGAACAATGGGAATATGCAAAACGGATTCTAAGGAGGTCAGTTGCTTACCAAGTACTTCCAGGTATGAGGAAAGAGCTGTATCCTCTTTTGAAATTCAGTTATGACAGTTTGCCTGATGACAAGCTTAAATCATGCTTCTTATATTGCGCCTTGTTTCCTGAAGATTTTGTGATAGAAAAATGGGAGCTCATAGACTATTGGATTGCAGAAGGATTTCTAGATGAAAATGACAGTATTTGTGATCGGAATGAAGGCCATGACATTATTTGTACTCTTCTTGGCTTATGTTTATTAGAAAAAGCTGATGAAGGGGTGAAGATGCATGATGTGATTCGTGACATGGCTTTGTGGATAGCAAGTGAAATTGAAAAGGAAAAATATATAGTGGAAACTAGTGCCCAATTAACTGAAGCACCAAAGATTGAAAATTGGGGGATGATAAAAAGATTGTCATTGATGATCAATCGGATTCAGAGTCTAAGAGGAACACCTGATTGTCCTGATCTCCAAACCCTATTTCTTGAATATAATTTTTTGCACTCAATGAGGTTAGGCAAGGACTTTTTCCAAAATATGGTCAGTCTAACAGTCTTGAACTTGTCAGGGAATCGGGATTTAACAGAATTGCCAGTGGGGATTTCAAATTTAGTTTCCTTGCAGTGTCTCAATATCCGTAATACTTGTATAAGAGAGTTGCCGATGGAGTTGAGTAGCTTATCAAAGTTGAAATGTTTGAACTTGGAGCAAACGAACGATCTTGTGACAGTCCCTGAAAAACTAATTTGTGGTTTTTCAAGGCTGCAAGTGTTGCGGATGCTGTGGACTGGTCTTGCCGCCGGTAGAGCGATAAATGGGAATATCAGCTTCAGCAGACTTGAGTGCTTGGAGTGCTTGAAATATTTGAATGCCTTAACAATAACCATACGTAATGACTTTGCTCTTGAAGGTTTCTTAAGCTCTCACCGCTTACAGGGTTGTACAGAAGGATTATGCATTTATCGACGGGAGGATGACTCTTTGTTTTCGCTGAAAACTTTATGTTTGCCACCTATGAAGCGACTTAGATATCTGTCATTGATATCCACCAGTATCGAAGAAGTGAAGATCGAGTGGGAAGAGGAAGGAAGAAAGATACAGACACCGTATGACTTTCAAACCTCTGTGATCGCAAGCGAAAGAAACTTCTACAACTTGTGGAAGGTCGACATACGGTCCTGCCCAAATTTAAAGGACATTACATGGATCATTTGGGCCCCAAATCTGGGAAATCTCTTTGTTCGTGCCTGCCGTAGAATGGAAGAAATAATTAGTGAGGGTGAAGTTGCAGCGATGACCGGAGATCTTATCTTGTTTGCGAAACTCCAATATCTGGGTTTATCTTCTCTACCAGAATTGAAGAGTATCCACAGGATTGCACTTTCCTTCCCTAGTTTGGTTGCAATTACAGTAGGTGATTGTCCGAAGCTGAGGAAAATTCCACTTAGCTCCAACAGCGCAAAGGGGCGTAGAATCATCATTACAGGAGAGCAACAGTGGTGGAATGAGCTAGAATGGGAGGATGAATCCGCACGGGACATTTTTCTCCCGTCTTTCCAACCTTGGCAAGAACTAGAAATTGCAAGGATGTTAAAAATTGCACCAAAAGAGGATGAGTGATGAATCCACGGGGAAGCCTACTTTTCCTCGTCTGAGCATCCTGTTTGGTTTGTGGGTGTGTAATTGATGAATAAAAATTATGACAATAGTATGACATGGTACTCTTTTATTTTACTTTAAGTTTTTTTTGTTTCTGGCAATTTAAAATCTTCATGTAATGTTTAAGAATGATGTGACATATAATAACAAGATTATGTATTTTTTATATTTTAAGAAGCAATTCATGATGAGTTGTGTGGTAAAATAATTTAAGAAAAAGTGTAAATGAAAATATTAATTTTATATTTTTTTAATTTAAAAAATATTAATTTTATTAATTTTTAAATAAAATATTAATTTTTATTTTTATTTAAAAAAAATTTATTTAATATTTTATTTAGCCTATAAACTGGTAAAATTAACTTTAATTATTCCCGATGTTACTACAAGTGTTGAAAGCGTATATTTGGCCTTAAATCTTGTGAAAAGTGATTTGTAGAATTGAATAAGAGATAAAGAGCTAAATGATAATTTGATAATTTACACTAAATATAAAACATTTGATCTTATTTATAAAAATCTAATTTTTAAAAGATTTCAAAGAATGAAATCTTTATAGGTGAAAGTACAATAAAAAATTTTAAAATAAGATTTTTAACTTATTGTATAAATTTATTAATTATTATAGATTTATTATGACTTTTTAAAATTTTAAAAAAAATAACTAAAAAAATTATCAAATGTAAATATATTTAAAAATAATGTAAAATTATAAAAATAAATCCCAACAGCAATTTTAAATGTACCTCTAATTATAAACTATTAAAATAACTCTTTATAATACTCTTATCTTTTTTTTATTAATACAACATCAATAATTATTTTTTTTTTAAAAAAAATTTTATTTTATAATTTAAAAAACCCAACCTACATAGCGGGCAAGTCCTAGTTCTGAACCTCACTAACCGTACAAACAGCAGCACAACAGCAGCAACCAGGAAGGAATCCAAGTCCGAGTCACGTATCTCAAACTCGCACGTGCCAACTTGGAATGAGATGAGACGAGTAAACCCCAACCCCATCGTCCGCCCCATTTTCCACACTCCTTTACCGGCAGTCTGATCTCGCTTTGTTACCAGGGAGTGACCTGAAATCGTAACACAAGTTCTCCCGCAGATATTCCATCTCACTATGTGGAGAAGAGCAGTGTCTTCACACCTAAAAACCCTAGCCGCCGTCACTTGGCCTACCGATCTGCCTCTCGGACGCCGCCACCCAGATTCAAATCCTACATTTATACTTCTATCTCCGCTTCCATACTCAGTCGTCATTTCGCCTCTCAATCAGGTATCCAGAACCCTAATTGCTTGCTCAGATCCTTTGTGATTGGTCTGTTATTCTGTATTTGTAATGTATTACTGGTGATTATATGGATTGATCACTTTT